CGCATACAATTCGGATCATCAGTTGGAGCTGCTCAACCAGGCCGCACAGATGATGACGGAGACACGGTTCTCGTTGCTCGTTGTCGATTCCGCCACCGCACTATACCGTACAGATTTCGCTGGACGTGGAGAGCTTTCTGCCAGGCAAACGCATTTGGCCAAGTTTATGCGCACGCTACAACGGCTTGCGGACGAGTTTGGTATCGCCGTTGTAATCACGAACCAAGTTGTCGCGCAAGTGGACGGTGGACCAAGTGCCATGTTCAACCCAGACCCCAAGAAGCCTATCGGAGGAAACATCATTGCACACGCAAGTACGACTCGTCTCAGTCTGAGAAAGGGTAGGGGAGAGACGCGTGTGTGCAAGATCTACGACAGTCCGTGTCTGCCAGAGAGCGATTGCTTGTTCGCGATCAATGAAGACGGTATTGGTGACCCCAAGGAGAAGGACCTGGAGGAGAGGAACAATAGGTGATGAGGTGCGAGGTGCCAGGGAGCCGTGGCGATCTAGAGCTTTTGGTTTTACACGATTTACGTTTATGCAGCCGTATGATATCCTAATACATTACCTGAATGAATGCGCACTCTGTCTATCAGTACTGTCTGGTCTATCTTGGGATTGAATGGCCATACCATGTGGGGAGTGAGATAAGTGGGTTGCGTTCAGGGTAGTCTGCGGTGATGGACAAAGCGTCCGTGCACCAGCCAGCTTCGCGCATCCATCGTCGCGCAACGATTGTTTTCGTGAGCTTCACCTCCGCGCGACCGCCGCAACTCGACCCCAAACGCGCGCCAAAACCTCTCAGCCCCCGCAACGACAGCCGAACCCCCTTCGCATGCGAGCACCATGGTCCAACATGGAGGCACGTGTCTCTACAAAGAGGCGCGCTTGAACATTGAGCCCGCCTACCCTGGCTCGACCATCGCATTTTCGATCCCGTCGCATTCTCCCTTCAGCACACGCTCCAGCGTAAAGCGCAGTGTAATCACAGAATCCTACGCGGATAAGGACGAGGAAGACTTCACAAGGCGCCATCTAGCTACAGATGGGTCCATGTACTTTCGGCAGCACCATGCCTACCCGCGCAGCTTCCTCTGGCGGGTGCTGGACAACAGGAAGATGCTCGAGATCCAGGCGACCGACTTCGATCACGACTACACCGACAAGCTCGAAGCAAACCTGACGCTCCTCTTCCAATTCCCCGCCCCAATCCGCCCCTTCTGCGTGGCTTTCGCTGAGCCCGCCGACCGCGATGCATTGACCGTCTTTGCAATCACCACGGGCAACGAGCTCTACACGATCACCCTGCATCGCGACTTCTTCGCCAACCCCGCAGCCTCGGAGCAGGATTCGGAGACGTGGTGCAAGAGGTTTGAGCCAGCGCTCTTCAGCGGGCGCATACCCTACCGATTGGCCGCCGCGAGCGCAGACGAACTGCTAGTCACGCTTGACGACGGGGCCATCTGTCGCTTGATCTGGGACAAGGCCAACAACACTTGGGATGGATCGCGGTACCAGCAGAGCAATTGGTCGGTGCGTGGTCTTCTCTCGTGGAAAGCGCAGCCCACCGTTCGCTTCGAGAACGCAGACTTTGCTGTATCAGCCGCGGCTGCCGTCGCGATATCACCAGACAACAAACACATCCTCTCAGTATGCCTGGACCACTCGATCAGAGCGTGGAACATTGCGTCAGGCAAGCCAGGCGCGCACATCGACCTCCTGGGTGCTGACGACTTCGCCATGGAGAAGTCCCATGGCTCATACTCCATTGGACCCTCGCAGTCGATGCTGATGGCTGTTGTGAACATCCCAGGCGGGGTAGGAGGCGCATTATACCACGTCGTTACGTACTCGCCAAAGCAGCATCAGTTCAAGTTCTGGGGCGTGAGGGATGCAGACGACCAAGAACACGGATTCTACGACGCTGCGCAAGACTCAGAGCTCATTCCACCGATCGACGAACTTATGAACACGACTGTATGGACGCTAGAGGAGTTTCACATCATACCAGGGCCTAACACCTGGAGGGGCTCAGAGATCTGGATACGCGCCAGGTCAGGTCCAAGCAGCAAAGTCTACTCCCTCAAATTCGATCTCACCGACTACGCCGAACAACGATCACAAACCTGGAAGAGTGATTGGGTGTCTGTTGACTCGGGTCCTCTGACCGTCGAGGCACTGAAGGTCAATCCCGCGAATCCAAGCGAGCGGGAGTTGGAGCCAGAACAAGATCTCTCGAATGAGTGGTTCGAGTTCCTGTTCTACCCAGGCCGATTTTCGATCGCGACATTAGAAACCGCGTTGCGCATATACAGGAGAGGCTTGGAGGGGATACGGCACCGGTCAAATCGAGTTCACAAAGGGTCACTGAAAGAACGTCTGGTTGCCACGCTTGTCGCCCTCGCCATTGAACGCGGTCATAGCGAAGACTTCAGCAAAGACCTAACAGCGGAGTGGCAGGCATACTACGGCTTGGTGAAAGACTTGCACAAGCGGAGGGGAGAATCGTTGTCACTCAGTTACGACCGGGCTACTGACAGGCCGTGGCTAGTGTTGAGCGACCACATCTCTGCGATCAGGAACTGCAGCGAGTCGGAAGTAACTACACTAAATGCAGCAGTGATCTCAGGCTCGCGTACCCTGAGCAAACCTCTACGGCAAACTCTGGATACATCGGAATCTCGCGACGTGGCACGCCTACTGAATGCCGCAGCTTCCTTCCGCCAACGACTACCGTACTTTGTCCAGCAAAAGGTCCAACGCCACATGGAAATGGACCTACTTCAGAGCCGGAACATCACGATCTTGGATCGCATGGAGTGGATCGAAGGCAACAGCGAGCTTTCTCAGCATGTGACTGACGAAGATGTAACCACTCTTGTTGAAGAGCTCGGCATGGAAGTCAAGGACCTGGGTACCGAGACTTTCCTCCGTGCCATTAGGAAACTGGACTACGAACACGACGGCAGGCCTCAGTCGAGAAAGCAAATTGCACGATACGGGCTGAGTGCGTTGTCGTGCGTTTCCAAGGAGACTTTGGAGAACGACCACAATGCTTTGCTTGATCTGCTTGTCCTGCTACTGTTCATGTTCATTGAGCTAGAGGGAGAGACACATGACGAGTGGGATGCGTCTGAGGTGTTTGCTGAGCTTCTACTGCGGTATAAGGACTGCATGGTCGTTTCTTGGCTGGCCCGTACAGTGTGGTCTCACCAGACTGGAACTGGCCTTGCATCCGACAATCTTAATCGCATGTTGAGCGAGACATACAAGACTGGTATGAAGTTACCCATCACCCAGACGGTCCTCGAGGGAATCTACGGAAGTCGTGCCTTTGAGGTGCCACTACCAAAAGACCCGAAGGCAGGTCTACTTACCCACTGGAGTCGCGGCTGGTTGTCATTCATCTTCGAAGAACACGACTTTGAAAACGCTGTAGAGGATATGATGGGGATACTCTTGTATCAGCAAGAGTACGAGCTCGCCAAGGATTTTTCCAAGTTTCTCACGGAAGGCCACTGGGCGTCGTATTTGAAGGGACGACTGTACCTTGCACTGGGCAACAAAGAGCTGGCTTCTGTGTGCTTCCAGAAGCCTGCATACTATCTGGGTAAGTCTTTGACATGCAATTCTGCCACGAAGATACTAATTTCTGCAGCTCTCGGTCCCATGTTTGACGTGGCGGAGGAAGACAAGGCAAACCTCATATCTGAGGTGGAGCGAAACTCGTTCTCCGAAGGCCTGGCGCACTATTACGGTCATGTAATTGGTCTGTTCGAAAAGGCCAAAGCGTACTCCTACGTTGCCGACTTTGCGAAGCTGGGGCTGCGATCTTTGATGGGTCAGGAAGACGTAGAACTGAAGACAGATCTGCTTCAACGGCTGTTCACCGCTTCCATACAGACATCAAGATTCCAGGATGCATACGGTGCGCTGATCAGGCATCGGGACACGGCCTTGTAAGTCGAAGAACAGCTTCCACACAACTTCGTACACTGACTATTTTCCAGGAAACTCGCCGACCTGCAGACACTCATCACATCCATGGTAGCCCAATCGCAAACAACCGAGCTCCTCAAGTTCCCCTTCGTCGGACTAACAGATTCGGTGGACAACATCCTCACATCCCTCTGCCAGAAGACACTCAACATCGCATCTGGACCGCCCTACCACCAGATCCTCTACTCATTCCGCATCTCCCGCAACAACTTCCGCGGCGCCGCGTCGATCCTCCACGAGCGCCTCCAGCGTCTCAAGACAACATCAACCAAGATCCACGACCCAGCCGACGAGTCCCTAACACAGTGCTACCTCATGATCATCAACACACTCTCATCCGTCAGCAAAGAAGACGCCTATATATTGGCTGAGCAGCGCATAGAAGCGACTGGAGGCCCGCCGCAGTGGGGCATCGGTCAGGGCAAGAAGCTGCTTAGACGGCAGATCATCACCCTGGATACCCTGAGGAAGGAGTATCAGGCGGAATTGGACAGAGTCGCGGCGATTGAGAGTGGGCAGTTTCCTTTTGTGGATCCGGTGGATGATATGGATATCTTGTAGGGCTTGGTGTTATAGCGCGGCGTTCTTTGGCGGCTTTGCGGCTTTGCGGGATTGAGAAATGGATGGGGGGGTGGGGGTTATGTAGATTTGCATCTGGCTGGGTCCGAATTGGATCGTGGAGTGGCTAGATGTTATTATGAGAATCCAGATCTTGAGCGAATGATGGCTATGTTGATTGCAGTCTGTGTTTCGGCAGTGTTTGTCCTGTGATTGATGAACGAAGTGATCAGGTGAGAGTGAGATGCAATGACGCGCTAGAACGCGTGCAGATGCGGGACGTCGCGAACCTCAAGGTAGGTGCGTTGCAGCCGCTGGAAGACAGCAGCCATCAACCGCCCCTTCAGATCCTCACGCCTCCGATCATGGCGCAATAACTTCTCGTCCTTATCCTAATTACCTCACCAACTACATACAACAATCCTAAATAACCTCCGCAGCCATGGTACCACCCGCTCTCTTACCCTGCCAGCGCGTCCCTCCACTAACCCAAACATCCAGAACTCAAAGTCCCTCCGCCGCCTCGCCGCAGACCACGGCTCCCTCCACACCGCCGGCCTGCCCCCAAACTACCTCTTCCCACCGGGGTCCGACGACTCGTCAGACCTCACCTCCCTCGACATCCTCCTCGCCGGTCCTGTCGGCACACCCTACGCATCCGGCGTCTGGCGCCTCCACCTCGACATCCCACCCACGTACCCCACCGCACCGCCCACAGCGCAGTTCCGCACACGGTTATGGCATCCGAATATTGATGAGGCGACGGGGGCGGTGTGCGTGGAGACGCTGAAACGGGACTGGAGTAGTAGTCTCAAGTTGAGGGATGTCCTGGTAACGATATCTTGTTTGTTGATTCAGCCGAATCCGGCGAGTGCGCTGAATGAAGCAGCCGGGAAACTGGCCACGGAGGACTGGGAGGGGTATTGTAGGAGGGCGAGACTTATGACGGATATCCATGCGAGTGTGCCGAGGGAGATTGAGGGGGATGTTAGGGAGGCGCAGATGCGAGGTGAAGATAAAACCACGGAACTAGACCAACCCATCGCGAAACCACATTCAAAAGGCAAAGAAACAGAGCGGGTTAAAGTTACGCCGTCAGGACCTAAACTCACGCGCATGAAGAGTGAGGATGAGGAGAATACGAGGAGCAGGAGGGGCGGGACGCAGGATGCGGAGAGTGGGACTGAGGACGATGCGGTGACTGAGCGGAGGGATGGTGATAGGACGAGGAGGAGCAAGGTGCCCGAGTCGAGGAGACAGGGTAATATCTTTGGGATTAAGGGCTTGGGCGATGGAATGCAGCTTGACTCCCCACCGCCGAAACGCATCTTTGCTGTGCCGGGGGGAAGTACACCGCCTGTTTCTACGCCGAACGAGAAGGAGAACGGAGAGGATACAGATCCGTTCACGACTGTGACGTCGAAACGCAATCCACACCCCGATCCTGCTACTACGATGTGTGGAACAGCAGCAACAACACAACCCGACACCGAGACCCCCGACCTCCTCAAATTCTCAACACAAAACCCCTTCGCCGCCATCCAACCCAATAACCAAACTCACCCCCTCTTCAGAGAGTTTTCGTTTAGTTGGGAAGATGCTATGGTGGTGCATGACGCTGGGGTTGGTATGGCTGGTTCGGTTGGGAAGAGTAATGGGAGTGTCAGTGGGGTTAGTAAAGCGGATGTACGCAAGAGACACGCGACGGAGGAGTTTGAAAAGAAGGAACGATGGGAGATGAAGAGGTTTAAGAGGGCGGGAGGTGATTTGAAGAGGTTTAATCGGGGGGATTGGGGGGTTAGGATGGGGGTTGGAAGACTGTGATGGGGGAGGATGGGGAGGGGAGGAAGGAAGCAGAGAGGGAGGCAGAGGGGTGTGGGTGATGGATGGGTGGAGGAGGGGTGTAATGGTGGTTTGCATAGCGATATGGCGTTTTGACTTATGAGTATGATGGATGTTCACGGCGGTTGCGATTGTTGATCAAGATGGGATGGTAGTAAGGTGATAGTACGGTATACCCTATGGAATACACTCCTACGATCAGCGAGGTACTCTTCGCGCTTTCGGGTACTTGAGTTGCGTGATGATGATGATCATCACCACCGCCTTTGCACTCGGCAACGCTCGCGAGCTGAAAGAACAGTCAGAACGGAAGTCCAGACATCGTTCTTTTCTTTGCTTCTTTTCGGCACATCATGAACCCGCTCTTCACCTTCGGGTGCGTCGGCTGTTCTGGTGTACAAGAGAAGGAAGAAGGAATCAGACCATAGCGTGAAAGTTCGCAACTTTTATATCCCATGGTCATCTCTCTTCTCAATGCCGTCTGTCATGTCCGATGTTGCGCCATCATTTCGATAACGCAACACAGCACCCACTCAGACAATCATTTACAGGCTCTATTCGAGTTTTTCGACCTCATCACTTCTATTTCTCTGCTTTTTGGAAATCGATGCTCGCATGTCAAGCTCTGCGGGCTCTTTTGTGTTTCGACAAAAGAGGAAGAGAGGGCAAGACCGAACACATGTGGCTGTTTTTGCGATCTTTTGGGAAGGAGCCGCCGTCTCCATCGCTTTTCACTTGCAGCTTTTGGAGAAAGAGGAGGAAAGTGGTGGATAAAGAAGAAGGAAGAAGGCGTGTCGAGAGAGGTTTTTATAGTAGAGCGAGGACGAGGGCGCTCACACATGGCACATGCGCGACGTTCTTTTGGTGGAGCGTGGAGCTTTTGATAATGTTTCGGTATGTTTGGTGTGGCTCGCGGAGAAGGCCGGAACACATGAAGATTTTGAACCTCGGTTTTTGGAAGAGCGGCACAATCTCCATAGTGACCTGGCTTTATGCTTTTGGTAAAAGAGGAGAAAGGTGGAGGATGTAGGAAGAGTAGTTTCGCAACCACAGGGGGGCTTTTATGTGCTGAGGCGGAGGGAGCGGCGTCCACATCACCATGTCGCTCGGAGAATTTTGGTAAGAGAAGCTCCTCGCGGTGGCTGGACGAGGAGGACAGAACATGTCATGATCTTCGTATATTTTGGAAAGAAGAGACAATCTTCATACATCAGTCCATCCACATTTTCGGAGAAAGAGGAAGGCACAGTGTTGAAGGAAGAGTACTCTAGCCGTGGACAGAAGGTTTTATAGTCGAGCCTCACGAGGTTCGTGGTCATGTTCTGCTGGTAGACTTTCTTTTCGTGCGCTCATGGTGCTCCTGGACGAGAAATGCTGATCATGCCAATGAGTAGCGTCGGTTTTGGAGAGCAGACTCATGAAGTGCATCTGGCTGCAATTTGAGAAAAGCAGGTGCAGTCTCCATTCTTCACCAATGTAAAGTTTTTGGAAAGAAGAGGCGGAGTCCTGCTCTCATCACAACCCCCAAGCTGTGGATTTTGGAAGAAGAGGCACAAACACCATGATTCGAAACGAAAACTGTTTTTGGAAAACCACAATAGAAGTGTGGATGTAGAGAAGAAGAGAGGAGCCGTCGCAGACGAAGCTTTTATAGATGGGCGACGCACGGGCAGCGCGCATACATCGTAGCGTTGGTCTTCTTTTTTTATATTGAGGTACCATTTTTGTGGAAGGAAGACAGTGTCATTTCTGGACTGCGGATACAATTTGAGAACGCGAGGAAGAAGAGGCGAACACATCGGTGCCTTGGTAGTAGATTTTGAGACGCAGGCAGAATTCTCCATGAATCGCGACTGTGCCAGTTTTGGGAAGAGGGATAGAAATGCTGGATGAAGATGGAAGAGAGACACAGCGACCGAAGGAATCGTTTTATAGACAAGCCAAGAAGACGCTGCCCACATCATCTCCTCTCTTCATGTGTTTTCGTACCCGCAGGCTGTTTTTCCGTCGCGCGACCGCGCTTTCATCCCTTAAGCCGCTCGATCTTTTGGGAAGGGCAGAAGAGAAGAACGAGACTCATGTTGTCTTTTGAACATCTATTATGAGACAGGAAGAAGGGTGCTGCCATCCAAACTTTGCGTATAGCTTTGAGAACGGAGAGTAGAATGTTGGATGTAAGGGAGAAGGCCTGTCTCATGATAATACAGTCATCAACTTTGAGACGGCGGCTCGCAAAGATGGAGACTTGCGCGATTTGCAGCGACTGCTACACATCTTGTTCTTTTGTTCGTATCTGAATAGCGGCTTGGGCTTTTGTGGGCCATTTCCTGCCATCAAGCTTTTTCTCGAGGTTTTTGAGTTTAGAGAGCAGGAGAGGACATGGATGCTTCCTCTGCCAGTTTCCAGAAGAACAGACAAACTTCTCCATCAGACTCAGACCCAGCGACTTTTGGAGAGTAGAGAAAGGAACGAGGAGTGTTTGGGAATGAGAGACAGTGCAGAGAAGAGGTATTTATACCTCGAGCGACTAGGAGAATGACAACGCAGAGCTGGCGCTGGTCATGAGTTTTGGAATGCATCCTTTGAGCAGTAGGTCGACGCCGAAGGCGGGCTCTCATAGGACTGATCTGGTTCAGTTTCGGAAACGCGAAAGAAAGAGCCGACCATGGTTGTTGTGGAGAGTGGTTTTTGTGGAAGAGCAGTCCTCTTCATGTAATTTGCGAAGACGTCTTTTGGTAGCGCAAAGTGCAATAGTGGATATGAGGGGACGAGAGATCACACTGCGGTAGATTGATACATCAAAGTCGCGCAGACATGGGGCTAGGAAGTTTATAGGGTTGTGAGCCCTTGAAGAGCGCAGAAGGCCATCCACTTGTTCTCATTTGCATTTTGGGTACGTTTTTGGGAAGTGGGGAGACTGCGAAGACCCATCGCTTGGAACCGCGCATATTTTGAAAGAGCCCAAAAGGTCAGAGACACTCCATGGACGAAGAACCCAGCGATTTTGGTAATATTATTGAGAAAGTTTGTTGATGAGGGAAGTCGCAACGAAGTGCGAATTTTATAGCCGGTTCGCAGGCTCACGTGCAACAGCGCATTGGGCGAGACGCAATCATGCCATGCGCTCTCTTTGGATTTACATATGGGGTAGTTGATATGGCGCATGATCATATCGCTCTCATGCATTCGATCAGACTGACTTCGAGGACGACCTGGAAGAAAAAAGCTCATCGGTCGCTTGTCGAAATATTTTACTGGAACACTGACCGACGGCCATGAAGCTGTTTTTTTTTCTTTTTGGGAAGGTGGCTGCAGATGCTGGTTTTGATGTTAGCGAGAACGTCAGGCCGAAGGTACGCGTTTCGTAGGAGTGATGCGGCTGGTCTGCGCCCACATTGGCGGTGTCGCAGTGACATCCGACCCAACTCGCGTCATGCGGAACAATTCCGAAGTCGCCCGTGCATCGATGCACGGACATCTTTGTCTCACCCCTTGAGTTGTGCTTAGATTGACGCACCTTCCTCTCTCATCGCAAGATATCGCGTCTCATCAACTCAGCACTTGTTCAATTGCATGCAAGATCACTTCGAACGAATACAGGTGCCAAGCGGAGATGTCTGACGAGTACCCTGAATTGTCTGATCGGCTCTCGGAACCGTCTGACGACAGTAGTCACGATAAGGATTATCCTCATCACAACGACGTTGAAGAACGCCGATACTGGGAATCGCGGCTACCTGAAGACTGCTATTCGCTGTCACAAAGGTTTTTCTTTCGTATGCAGAACGACACGTGATAAGAACTGACTTTCTAGTAGAGAAGAACTAATCCGACTTGCCTGGCGCGAACGAGCGCAATGCCGCGAACCTGACAAGACTGTATTTGACAATTGTTTCTTCGATACTCCCGACCCCGTATTTACGCTCTCTCTTCGGGTAGCACACCCCATGATGGTCCCCCTAAGCGCTTCATCATTTGTATGCGCTCCATCATCTCCCTAGGATACATCTCCAGGGGCGGATAATTAGCTCCATGTTTGGGTTGCTTTCCTCCATATTCATCGTCGCTGTCTCCATCTTCGTCCTCGCTGTCTCCGTCTTCGTCCTCGCTTTCTCTTTCTTCATACGCATCGTCGTAGTAACCATCGTCTTCTGGAGGAGACATGAATTTCTGGAAGTCTTTATAGCCCCACCTGCGCCTAAATTGAGGTAGATTGTTGGCAAATTCTTCTTTGTAACTGAGCGGACCGTCTGCTAGCATGCTTTGTTCGATGAAGTTTCGGTAAGGTCGATAGTATCCCGATTGCAGTGTATGCTCTTCCTTCTCCTTTCGTCATGGTTAGCATGGTCTCACATGAGATATGTGCAGACTGACCTTTTGCCAATCCTCTTCGGTGAGGTAAAATAGTCCTTGCATCTTCCGATCATCCTCACTCGACATCGTCTGGCACATAATTGTGATAGAAGAGCCAGCGTATTTCAGATCGTAAAGAGGTTTTCTCATTGCCTCCAACACGTTAAGAACGCTACGCTCCACATTCAGGAACCCGATACGCTGCGAAATCTCCATCTCGTCCAGCCCAGAGTCTTTCCACTCCGTTCTTGCTTCCCCATACCATCGAGGTTCGTCGGGCGAGATCTGAACTCGAACGTCAAGCTTAGCTTTATGTTCCACGAGCGAAAGCGCAGACTCTAGGTCACTGTGTAAATTACCGAGATTCGATAGTTCTCTCCACAAGAGTTCCTCGGATCCAATTGGCATTCTCGGGCAGATATCAGTGACTACGATTCTGATGTATATCTGCCGGATAAACTTGTACGGCAGTACACCCAGGTTGAAACAGTCCTCTGCCAGTAGCGGCATCAACTGCGGTAAGCCCGGACGTTTTGAAGCCCAATCTGGCGAGATGGCTTGAGTGCCCACCTCGAAAACGTTGGTAGCATAGTAGCATTCCGCCGCTTCGCGTGCAACCTCGTAGCCCACGTAAGATGGGCAAAATACCTTGTAGTCTGATGTGACAAATTCTTCATCAGATGCCGTACTAAGACCACCCAGACCGGATCCAAAATACATTGTCTCGCAGTCAGCAACAATGTACCGGTATACTTCATCTCGTACCTCTCGGGGCAGTTTAGCGTATAGTTTGGACGCAATCTGACGGACTTGCTCGCGATCGCGCTTCGCTCTTAAGATTTGTTGATCCCTGTGACAGTGTTAATCGGGGTGGGCGCTGTTTTGTATGCAGGTGGCTGTACTTAGAAGGTTCTTTGATGTTCAATCGCTTGTGGAGCATGCGCACTGGACGCCATTTCCATCGCTTATGTACTGGGTTTAACCCATCTGGGTCTCCCTCGGAACGTTCTTCTGAGAACTCCAGCTCCGAATTCCAAACTGAAGAAAACTCTGAAAGGTCTTCTGAGTACTCCGCCTCCAGCTGTGAATCTAGCTCTGAATGTTCCTCTGGGTACTCTGCCTCCCACTCGGGATCCCACTGGGAGGAATATCGCTCCATGGCGCGAGCACTGTTGAACTTCCGCTGGGTCGACGCGATGCAAAAACTTCCAAACTACCCGGGCGAGCTGTATACTGGAGTTGTTGGGCTTGTCAATAGTTGCTTGTACCTTCGAGGATGAAGAGCGAAGCATTGATGGCACCGAGTAGCGTGACGTATCTAGCAACGTTGGCTTCTCCCTCCAATCATCGTTTGACGCGTCGACGCGCGCCCCCCTGTCTCTGCACAGACCATATGCCACACACCGCTTACTCCCGCTCATCTCGAACGCGCAGCGTGAAAGATTCGCCGAAGTTACTGTCAAACACGGAAAAAGCAAACAAGGCGCGCCTTGAACCGCAGCGATGCCTCCGAAGGTTGGTCGCCCTGGTCGTAGGCGGCGAGAGAACCGGGCCGCTAAGCCCCCAAGGTATTACCACCTACGTGCAAACAAAATCTTCTTGAAGTTCACGCTATTGCAGAAGGATCCCCCAGAAAGCCTGGAATGCCGAAGTCAAACGTGAGAAGCAAGCCTGCCGTCGTCTAGCGGTAGCCTTTATCGACAAGCTTGGGAGAGATTTACGGGACGAAATATACCTCATCCTTTCCGAGGAGGCAGACAGTAGCAATGTCGACGTCGAAGGCCGTAAGACCGGCAAGAATTTCTACGTTCAGCCACTCTTGCGGATATTCAGCCCCGACTACGTCGGTGATAAAGTCGCCTTTGAAGCTGCGACTTTTCTCTGTGCTCGGAGTGACTATGAGTGTTATGACATTAGACAACTCAATGCGTTGCTTACGGATAACAAAATCCATAAGCGCGTCTTTCCATACCAGTGGTTGTCGCAACTGCATCTCACCATCAACATCGAAGATGTTACCGCTCCCAGATACAAGGCCAACTATGGCAATGACTCGGCCATTGTCCGGGAGCGGGAAGAAAGTCTTGATCTAGAATGGAAGCTCCATTCATATATTAACACGACCTTCAATTCGAGCTTTGCGCTTTTGTTAAAGGCTGAGCGTATATCCCACATGAAAGTTCACATCATGTTAGAATTGGGATCTTATCCGTATATGGACTCACCAGACACGGAGTCGCACATGGCTATGCTGGACGTCGAACGCAGCTTTCTCAACGTTCTGGAAGACATGCGCAAACCTGTATATGATTTAGTACACGCTGGGGCCAGGGTAATAATCACATGGGACGAGGAGAGGGAACCTCGTTACCAGCCCGACATGCGGGGTGATCCTCTTCAAAGGCCTTTAGTCGGATTGTTCCACCTAAGTAAGAAGGATTGGGAGGAAGTATGTAATGAGCCTCGCATGCACACTATTACGCACACAAAGTCCAAAACCACCGTACTGACTTTCTTAAACAGGAGAGAGCCAATGGCCTGAATGACCATGGTGATTATCTCGGGATTCACTACAATCAGAGAATGATTCAAGAGTTATGGAATGGGGGCCGATACTGCGAGATGTTCGCCAACATGCTTCCTGAATTCAGAGAGCGCTGGGGATACAGCTCATTCAGGAAACTGGTGCACATCGGGCAGCTTTGGAAGCTAGATGATAGCGAATGCGAGAATGGGTTTTCGTCAGGACCGAGCACGTATGATGGGAGCGACGAGGAGGACGAGGAGGACAACGACGATAATGAAGAAGATGAGGACGATGAGGGGGATGACGACGATGAGAACGATGAGGATGACGAGGATGATTATGAACAGGCATACTACCACAGCGATGACGATAGTAACCAAGGAGACTATGAAGCTTCCTATGACGACATGGAGCGATGGGGGTATTAGCCATGAGGGACCAGAAGACGAGAGCACATTACTTACTCGTCTGCTCGTAGCCCTGAAACGCGTGCCCAGATATTTAAGATCATGTAGATGATTAGCAATGTCAACCTGCGTCTCTCCGACGAATTGTTTGACGCGTCAACGCACGGACCATAAGCACGTGGCACACACCGCATCTCGTGAGCCTACCTAGGTATGTAGGCATCGACCACGATTAACCGGACTGTTCGCAAGCAGCAAAAGCAAAAGACAGCGCAGTGATGCCTTCAAAGGGCAATCATGGCGATGATGCGCATCAGAGAAATGGGGCCACCAAACAACCCAGGTATTGCAAGTCCTGCATCGTCGTTGCCGCCTTCCGGAGTATTCACGCCTATGCAGAAAGATTCACTACAAAAAGCGGCAGACCAAGTCCCAAGTCGAGCGACAGGCATGCCATCGCCTAGCCATCGGAATGTATTCCAAGTTGCCGCGCGAACTACGGGATATTGTCTACGGATACGCCATCAAAGAGCCGTTTTTGATCCGCGTGCCCGACTTCCAACAACTGAAAAACGCCGAGGTGCCATCGACACAGCGCATATACAGCCAAGTCTACGTTGGTGAGGAAGTCGCACGCGAGGCAGCCGAGTATTACTACTCCAAACAGTACATCATCGCCAAATTCCAAACTCTAAGAGAAACCCTTACTCAAGACGTCTTTCACTTAGGCGTTAAACCCTACATGCACACTCGAGAACTGCATGTTCGCATCAACAATGACAAGATCAGCGGCTGTCTTGTGAAAGAGGCAGGGGCAGACGCCAATGGCCGACTCATTGAGAATGTATACGTGGAAAACTGTATAGCGCAGGAGAAAGGAAACCTAAATGATCTGTACCAGAAGCTTGAAGCCGGATTTGCTCTCTTCAAAGGAAAGAGAGAGCCTTCGTTGCTGAAGCTCCGCATCATTATCAAGATGTCTGGGTACTCCAACGCTTACTATGAGCACACCCAAGAAGGCGTTACCGCCATGCGGGATTACGAACGCAGGTTCATGAATGTGCTGGAAACAATACGCAAACCGGTGTATGACATGATACACGCTGGGTGTAATGTCGAAGTTAAATTTGAAAAAGAAATGATCAGCGCCGTGGACCGCTATTGGGGCGATGGCACAGACAGTGGCATTGAAAGTGATTCGGATGAAGAGACCGATATCTATATGCGTCTGAACTTGACACCGGCATTATTCCATCTCAGCAAAGAGGAGTGGGAAAAGGTTCGTAGCTCTCCTAGGCGCACCCCACCACGAGCCACACTGACACCCACCCCCCTCCAGGAAAAAGCCACAAACATCTACATCCACGGCCGCTACAACCCAAAAGCACACTACAAATCGCACATCCTCCTCCGCTACACCCGCATCAACAAACACTACCAAATGGACTTCGCCAGAAACCTGCCCGAGTACAGAGCGAGATGGGGCTATACATCATTCGAGAAGCTGTTACATGTTGGAAGATATATCTATGGGCCGGAAGATGCTGGTGACGCTAAAAGCGAGGACTCGGGCGGCTATTCGATGCCGTGCTATACGAACAGCAGTGCGTATAGTGACAGTGAACGCCCGGATGGTTGGACCCATTGGTCTGAGGAGGATGAGGATTTTGAGGATGGAGACGTGGGTCGTCATAGTGACGACAGTTTGGACGAGTGGGCAATGGCCCAAATTGCCTAGCTGTGATGGTAGGTAGGCAGTACGAAATGTTGGGGAGAAAGGACCGAGGAGCACAGCAATGACGGATGACATGGTTGTGCTGAGCGAACAATCGATTAAACGGACCAAATCCAAGCCCGTTGAGGGACTACCTAGGGATCAAACACGCTCAAATCTATGAAATCCAACGCTAGCCACCCATTGTTGAAAGTGCGTCCCCGCAGCTCACACTACTCCGTTCGCGGCCGCCTTGCTCTCAGCGCCGTTCTGCAAGACTTCATCCGCCTGCTTAATCGTAGGCACCGATTCAGACGGAACGACGAGTGACGCGCCGTTGACGACGCCGTTGGTGGAGTCTTGGTGCGGTGCTTGGAGTCCTTGGCGGACCTTCAGCACGCTATCTACGATGACGGCGTCGATGCCTTCGTTTCGCTGGAGCTGTTTTGCTGTTAGATGATGTTGCAGTAAATAGAAGCTTGGGAGGGTATGACTTACCAGGACGTTCTTAGGATCGTTGTTCAGTATGCCATACGAGACGCACACCAAACCGCTTTCCTTCACCACTTTGACAAGTCTCGGGCACATGACCAAGGGCTCAGCAGCGGTGACGACTCCCAGCAGATTCCAACGGCTAGCAAAGCGGATGCCTTCTTGTAGACTGGCTGCTCGCACATCGCCCACGGGCAAGGTTCCCGCGTCGGTGAGGAACAGTACGGGAATTGAGGGCTGCTTGAAGGATAGCATCAGGCAGACATCGGGGTTAAAAGATGAGAAGATAATGTTCCGTTGGCCCATCCTGTCGTACACCTTCTGCAGCACTGTATCGACGAATTGGTTCAGCTCAACAGCGTACTGGTCCATCTCCTCATCCTCAGTCTCGTAAAGCATAGGGTACTTGAACTCGACGTTGAACCCAACGGATTCAGGCAGCTCGTCGAACATGCGGTCTAGAGTCGTGAATGATGATTGAATGGAGGTGCCACGGTTGTTGCCCTTGAAGCCCTTCTTCATAAAGTCGCGGGTGTACTTCATTCGCTCCGCGAGCTCGTTCTGACGATCAGTGTGGATGTTGCGCTGTTTCGAGTTATCGACTGAGTATGATCGGAGTCTCCGGGTGTTGGGCTTGTCGTCTGTGCCATTCGCACCGTTCAGGACAGGCACAGTTTCTGGCGATCCAGCGCGAGAGGATCGTGGCTTCTGGCCCTCGCCGATGTGCAGGAATTGGTCCAATGTAAGCGTATGTACGGGTGCATCGATACCAGTCTCGCTGACCAGGAAGTCATGATAGATAACCGGCACATGGTCCTTAGTTAGCTGAACGTCGAACTCCACGTACTCGGCACCCAAGTTGGCAGCGGAAATGAAGGATTGAATCGTGTTCTCGCCAAGTTGTAGCGACGTGCGTGAGGCGGTGTTCTTTCCTAGACCGCGGTGGCCGATGACCATGGTCGATGCGGCCATCTTCTTCCAATACGTGTGCTGTTCTGTGATGGACATGCTTGGGTGGTGGAAAGGCGTAATGATCAAAAAGTTGAAGTTGACGGTGCCAATCACGTCAAGTGTTGAGGCAGCCACGATTGGTACCTTCATGTCTCCCTGGAGCGAGATGCGCTTAGATCCAATACTGGTCTTGATGGTCGACAGCAATGCCACTGCTCGTCCCACTACACGCTCTTGAGAGCCCGCATATGTTGGGATAATGTCGAAAAGTAGCTTGACTTTAGTGGCATCGCTGGTCATGAAGGTGATTGGCTCAGTCGCAATGTTTTCCTGGATGGGCAAGTCAATGACCGAGGGTTCTCCGTTTGCGCCAGACGCATTAACAACCACAGACAGAGCGGTATCGAGTTGCGTCGCGTGTGCATCGGCAAGAGGGATATCGTCCAATTTCACGGCGGGCACATCTTTCCTGGCGTCCATTGAACCTAGGCTGACAAGAATCATTGTCTCTTTGGTCAAGTAACGATGGCCAAAGGTCTTCACGGGTTCGGGCGCCTTTTGAACAGGCGTATTGGTGTCCCGATTTAGATTCTTAGACCTTCGCTCGTCAAGGGAGGATTGTGTAGGCGAGCCAGCTCGAGCAATACGCGTATCCTTAGGCGCGACAAGAGGCGGCTCTGTCGCAGGAGCAAGTTCCCCTAGTCTGATCGCTACCGCAATGTGACCACGGAGCGTGGCGTGCTCCTTTGCTGTCCAGCCAGAGTTGTCGCACCTCTGGAGATCAGCTCCGGCCGCAGCAAGAATCTCCACCATGGAGAGATGGTCGTCGACAGCAGCAATAAACAGTGGCGTCCAAGCGAATGTCTTCTCGGCGACATCGACCTCCGCCTTATTCACACTGGATCCTCCCAAAAGGACCTTGGCGCACTCGTCGTAACCGTAGCGTGCCGCCATGTGTAATGCGGTCTCACCGCCCTCATCCCGGTAGTTCACGTCCACACCCGCTTCGACCAAGAGCTTGACAATGTCTACGAAGTTGGACCGGGTTGCTAGGGTCAAGGCTGCCCCTGATCTCGCGATGGTTTTACGAGATGTAAGGCGTTCTTCTGTGGTACCGCGCCAGTTTTCCGCATCGAGGAGGGCTTTTGTGGTGAGCGGATGTCCGCCCATTACGCTGAGATGCAAAGGAGCGTTACCCTCAGCATCCTGCCAGTAAGCGGAGTCGATTCCCTGAGCGACGTCGAATTGGCCCCAGTCTTGCATGTGCTTCATAACGACCTGGCAAATGACGACAAATCCATATTGCGCAGCATAATGGAGCGGGAATCTGCCATAGGAGTCGCGAGATTGGAGCGCGTTGCGTTGCTCAGCCTGGAGCTGATCGAGGAGGTAGATGAGTAACCGTACCGACTCATCGTTCTCGCTGAGTAATTGCGTTGACTCTTCTTCGGTGGTGGTGCAAGGGCGAGGTTGGCGATTGGGATCCGTCGCAGGCACAATGAAGTTGCGCGTCTCGCTAGAGCTCTGGAGAAGGGTTCCATCAGCACCAAACGTGTCGCCAGTCTTCGATCGGCCGATATTGATGACAAGTCGGTGGATGCAATTGCGCTTGTTGATGTCGTCTTCCTCATCTAGGGAGATAATGTCCTTGAGTAATCTCTCGATACATGACTTTGCCCGGCATGAGATGGCGCGTTGCAGGAAGTTCAGGAGTACTTGCTGGAACGAAGCACTCGAAATGCCATTGCTCGCAGCAGCTTCTGTGAGTTTCTGGTTGAGATCTTCGACCTTGTCGCCCCGAATAGCCGTATCCACAGCGTCGAGCAGGCCTGCGGGAAGGTGTAACGAGCGACCTGGAACTCTGCCCAGAGAGGCCGCCGAATGGGAGGAGCCCGTGTCATCGAACGTCTTGATGTCGCTCAACCCTGATAGCCACTCGTTGACTGCCTTCATATCCTGATTTAGAGGCAGGTTATGCGCAAAAGGCTTTGGGTTGACCTTCGACGCCAAGTAGCGCTCCTGCAGACAAACTGTCTCAATCTTCTTGTCCAGCTTCTTTGTGATCTTGATGAAGCCTCTACGATTCACCTCTCCATACCATTGAAGCTTCCGCATTGAACCGCGCAGCTCGAGCAGCGCACCCATGAGATCCTGCGCTTCATCCTTGTCGATGCCGTCGGGCAATTGTGCGACTCGTCCGTAGCGGCCATGTAGGAGCCTCAATCGTCGTGCGTTTTCGGCGTATTTGCGGTTGTAGAAGTTGTCGACGTCTTCGAGATTGCGATCGAGCGAGAAGAAGAACTCTGGGGTGAATGTTAGCCACGTATTCAGCGACTTGAAGTTCAATAGTCGCAATAGTCTTGACGCGCTCGTGACGACTCCAAGATGTCCACAACAGCTTGGTGAAGCATAGCCATGGAGTATTTGGTATGAGTCTTGGCAAAGTTGATGTCTACGTACCAGCAAGATCTGGAGCCGAGCCATCTTTCGAAGCTTCAGCAGCGTTCTTGATGAGCTTCTTGAGGCCCTTGTAGTTGATATAAGACGCCGCCCATTCCGGGACCTGGTTCCTTGGTAGGTTGTGTCCGAACTTCATCCTGAGGGTGAAGCAACAATCGGTGGACAACTGGATCCGGGTAGAGCTTAATATTGAGCTTGAGGGTAGCTCTAAATCGTATGTAGGACTAGCTCTAGGCAGCGGAGGCGGAAAAAGGAACGAGATATAGGCAGTGGTAGGTATTGAATGATCGACAGGGCAAGAGCCAGAGTGCCAATTCCATGCGACCTGCGCAATCAACGCGTTAATGTTGAATCTTTAGGGTGTGCTCGAGGCGTCCATTCTCATTGGAGGAGACGGAGCTCGACAGAAGCGCGCCTGCAACATGGTTAAACGGACTGTCAAAAGTAGGGAAAGCCGTAGCTCGAGGCAGGGGAAGTACACTGGAGCGGCGGAATCGCTGGTCAGTGTTATCGGTGCGGAGCTGGACGGGTGAGTGAAAGACGTTGAGATGAAAAGAGACGTGGTTGGTGCGTCGCAGTGATCCCCAATGACGTATGGCGACGGAGCGCTTTGTTCAGTCACTCCCGCCAGCGCGCGCAGAATCTCGTCTGCCTTTATACTCGCCGTCGCTGCAAAGCTTTGAATGTCTCGGTTCAACGGTGGATCCCTGCCCCAATTATCACATCCTAATGCGTCACGCTTCAGCGCCTCTCGCATCGGCGGGTCACGGCGGTGTACCATGTATGTTTGTCAGCTTGGCTCGCGACGGACATTGCACGCGAAAAAGCTTCTTCTTGGCACTGCATAGAGCAACTTGTGCGAGTGTGAAGCGCGACACAACTGGGCATGGTGCTGGTAGCAATCGTGAAGACTCTGGCGCGGGTGCACCGCGGGGCCAACACGGGTAAGCATACACGCGACTACCTTCCGTGGCGGGATGCATGTCATTAGCAGTGCATGGAAGTGCATATGGGGGCACGGTAGCTGATCCGGGTCACACCGCATCGAAGACTGATTAATGTGGATGGTGGGGTTGCATTGATACTGGCTATGTGCTCTCCGCGCAATTATACCTCAGTGACTACACGGCACGTTTAAGCGTCGTGCTGCAGCTCGCTCCGCTCTGGGGAACCTGGCTTCTCCAGATCCCGCCCGTGCCAGTAGACCCCTCCCGCTAGCCCACCCATCGAGCGCCGGGGCTTCCAAGATAAGGACTAGGCGAATAGCAGGCCTAGGCTGACCTGGAGATTATTCCTGGACCATCAGGTGGTTCACGAAAAAAAGAAGGCGTTGCCCTCGTTATCCTTCCGCTGCACCTTGGACAGGTCCTTGTCTGGAGCGTACTCTGTCCATGCGCTTGCCGGGAATATGTGTTTGTTGCGTTCATACCACCGCCTGTCGACAACCTTGGTTATCGCTGGGTCTTCGCCGTAACCTTCGAGTTCCTCATCTGGTATGCTGGACTCTTTGCTCTTCTTCTTAAGGGGCTGAGCAAGCGGATCGTAGGTAGCGGGATCTGCGTCCGCGTCTTCATCGGTCGCGCTCGGGGTGGCTTTGGTGGGTTGCGCCGAGTAGTCGAAGATGGGGCCGTCGAAACCGGTGACCCTGTTGAACAGGAAGTGATAGATCTCGTAGTGCTGACACAGTGTTAGTTGGTAGGTCGATAGGTGGTGTCCAAATTTGATACTCACGTGTGGCAGGATAACTTCACCTCTCACGAGCATCAAGTCGTCCACGCTGACCCTAGCCCAATCTCTTCGACTCTTGTCACCGCCTACGCCTAGCTCTGCGCCGACCTTCCTAGCTTTGTCTAGGAACAGCCATATCTGTTCGCCCTTCTTGATCCTGCATCGTCCACCTGGTACGTTGGTGCCATCGTAAAAGACGAATGGTATTACCACTTCCGTCGCCTTGACTGCGTCGCGCATGACGATGAAGTCTTGTCGCGCAAGCTCTGCTTGTTGCGCTTCGCGTTGGAGAGCCGTCTTGGTCATGACGCGGGGTTTGAGGCCGATGTTCGAGTTTACGCCCAGCTTCTTCTTGAACACTTTGGGTTCTGCTTCCGGGGCAGAAGCGTCTGCGGGTGTGCTTTCGCGCGGGGTCGGCGTCTTGGAAACATTGGATTCGGTGTCTTCGTCTTCGTCTATGCCAAATGACAGCTTGCCTTTCCCGCCTACTTTGCGCTTCTTCTTGAAGACGGGTTTTGGCGTCGATGCCCTGTACTTTGCAAATTAGCGGATACTTCCCAATTGGAAACGACCGTCCTTACCCGTCTGTTGGTGTGTTTTCGCCCGAACTGATTGCGGTGTCACCTCGCTCCTTCCTGTCCAACGCGTCGGCGCGTCGCTTGCGGTAGTCGTCGAGGTTGACCAGGCCGACAGTTTGCGCCTTTAGCAAGTCTTCTGCTGTCGCGGCCTGCGATATGAAGCGGGGGTTGCCAGACGCATCTGCGCGATCGCTTGAACTGGACGCAAACCTGTCCATGTTGGCGGAACGATATGTGGTGGGGGATGCGACTGCCAGAAAGTTGATGGTGCCTGCCGAATATCAGAAACGCGCTAGCAGCTCGTCTCGTGATTACGCGATTTGGCGCGGTCACCCGGAAAGATCCCCACCCCACTCAGTGGTAGTCTCGCCTCTGCGACCCAAGCATTTATCTAAAGACACACGGCGGGAACAACGATGTCGCGCATTGTGCAGGATTCCGATGAGGAGTCGGACGGCGATCTCGAGGGTGACCTCCCGCCGCCCAAACACGCAGACGCGTCCGGACAGCCACTCAGCAATGACACCCACGGCACGGGATCCACCGGTAGGGCTGAGTTCACGGCATCATGTCATCAGACCGAGCTGACATGCAGCCCAGAATCTCTGAAGCGAGCCATTGAAAAGGCGCACCGGAACCATCTCCAGTCACAGCCGAGCCAGGAAGAGCCTCAGTCATCGGTGTCATTGCCTGAACATCCAAACAAGAAGAGAAAGACCACAGCTGATCCAAGTCCGCTCAAACCATTCAATGATGTGTCTGCTAAGAAAGGGCCCGTCACGTATGGGAAGGCTCCGAAATCCATCTTCGGTAGTTCTCCATCGTTCAACGCTCCACCTGTGGGCCGAGCAGACGCGGCCCTCGAATCAACTCAAGAAGTACCATGGCTCCCAGAAGGAACTATGCGCGACAACTACGCCCTCCACGAACCGGCCATGTTCCCTGAGCCTTCTAGTACCGTTCCCAACGCTACTATGACCCAGCAACATATCCTCGATGTTGTCAATGCACCACTCACGATAGGACAAGAGATCGACAGTGAACAACCTCGTTACATACCTCCACCAGAGCCCTCAATACCCTGGTCAGATCTTATGAAGTTCACACCGGCAGACGCGACGGAACAGACTGAATCATCTGATCGTGACCCCCCTTCAAATGATCCTCCGTCAGCCACGCCAGTCCGGACGTCACAGGGAGGCTATGAGTACAGCGCATCTCAACGCAGCAGGCGCGGATCTGGTGGTCCTTTGAAAGGCAGCCCTTTGAGAAATGAACTTTCCCGTAATGGAGCCGGTGACGCCGACCGAAAGGCGACACCAGTTGAAGCCAGCTCTGCCGATATTTGGGATATACCATCAACTGCACCACAGAAGACTCCGCGCGGTGAACACAAGGTAGTCAAGACGACACCTCGTCGTTCAAAATCCGCACAAGTGCCTGTCGCCAGCTCCGACGACGATCTTGCGAATATTGGCCTGCCAAAGGAGCAATACAAGCCACGGCCCAGCCGCTCGAGATCGCTCAAGGTTGAAGAGAAGCAGCCCATCGACTATTCTGTCCGTCCCGAGAAGGCCAAAAAGGTCAGTAAAAGGCGACAAACGACGGCTACAGCCGATACCAGCAACCCTACAACACCAGAAAAGGTCCGGCAGATTTGCGACATGGGATTTACACCTTCAACGACTTCTGGCGCCCTCAAGAAAAACAACGGTGACGTCATACAGACCATCGACTGGCTAGTCACTAACAATGTTGGCCACGACGAGCTTGCACCACCAAGTCCACCCAAGACCAAGCCGGTCATGAACAAGAGCGACGAAACTCCGGCGATGGACTCTGAGGCTATTCAAGATATTATGCGCAGTCTAGACCAGTATCAGAGGGATGATACGCAAGCCGTTGCACAGGATGTGGTTCATGTTGCGGTGGCGAATGATGCCATACTACCAGAGCCTATCGACCTCACAGAAACTCCAACTTCCGATTTGCGCTCGCCTACGAAAGTTCAGGTAGTGATACCTAAGAAGTCACCACTTGCCGTTTCGAAGCAGCCCCCAAGCTCTACCACTGCCTCGAATAAGAAGGCAAAGCGCAAAAAGCCCACATCAAATCCAGCCGAGAGCGAACCTGCTGAGACGGACTCTACCGTGCCTGAGATCGCGCCTGCGAAGAAGAAGGCACGCGGTCGGCCCAAGAAGGTCGCGCCTGTTGCTTCGCCTAAAGAACCTGACCCAGAACCATTAGAACAAGCTGTGGAAGTAGAGCATCAACAAGAAGTTGTACAAACGACCGAGCCCGGGTCCAATCCAGAGGAGATAGAGCAAGACTCTAAACTCACACGCAATGATACCGATGACGGGAAATCGCCAGACGCTACGGATACCACGACTGCCAGCCATTCGAAACCACCAGCGAAACCCTCTCCAGCTGCGGCGTCAGAGACTCCAGAACGAAAAATAAAACCTACAACTGCATCGCCAGCGAACACTGGCAAGGTGCCATACCGTGTCGGGCTGAGCAAACGAGCGAGGATCGCTCCTCTCTTGCGCATTGTGAAGAAATGATTAAGCACAACATACTTCTGCTTCCGCGTCAGCATCGCGAGCCATCATACTTTACCTCTTATCCAGACATGTACTTGAACTTAATGATACCCACTTTTACTCGGCATTGCCGTCAATTTCCACCTCTTCGTAACATCGTATACAAGGACCAGCTGAAGTTTTTCTAGTGGCGCTTCTGCCTTAGCCGTCCACAACTGAGCGACTAACAGATGCAGCTATCCAAAGTCACTACCATGGAGCTAAAGCGAACAGCACAGCCGCTTAGCCGCTTCCTCGCAGCAGCAGATCTGTATTAAACAGTTGGCTGCTCTACACTGTACTTACTGGTCACGTTGCCTTAGCGAGCTCTCCAAACATTGTACATCGCATTGCACATGCGATTTGTTTGCCGGTGGTTCGTTGCCGCGCGCAGCATTATCGATTATCGAGAGCGGACGCCAGCGCTCGCTTCGAGCTTGGCAGTGGAAATGAAGGCCCTCAGGGGCCTCCTAGCATCGAATCGCGACCAGCGGACGACCACCGGGGCGTTCCCAATCCTGCTCTCCTGAGCTTGGCATTCAGGCGTTCGTCTTAGGGCTGGACGAAATGCGATTCGAAGTCTCATCGTACGAACGGCGTGCATGACGATGTACCGTTACTGGTGCGCTGTCGCTTATTCCCAATACCACGGCACTAGGCATCGCAACGGCCGTTCGTTGATAACACTGACATCGCTGACAGCACGAACCACGAGTAAAGTGCTCTCAGACTGACATTGGCAGATATCGGATCGAAATTGCGAGTTATCCTACGGTCACCGATCATACCAGCAGCGAAGGCTTCCATAGAGCCCTTCAATCTCAGAGCTCTTTGATGGGCGCCGCGTACCGAGAGAGCCGAAAGCAAACGGCCTCTGATTCCTACGCGAGACGCCATTGAACGCCACATCAAGCCAACACGTGAAAAGCACGATGCTTTTGTGATGCCAAGTACTCCTCTAGCCTATTGTTGAGTTGGGCCCCGCCGGCGATCATCCCACTTCAGTATATCCGCGACGGGAGCCGGTCACAACCAGCATCGCGGCTCATATATTTAGACCCCAGCGGTTTAATGGCTTGGCCTCGTCAGGAACAGGACAGGTTCGGGCTCTGTTATCCCTCTTCCAGATTGACATGTCCCTAGGAATTGGAAGCTTTAAGCCTCCAGATCTGCTCGGCTACCAAGACATACCATCACATTGGGGACGCGAGATCATGTTGTAGCATTTCGTGGTGGCTTATACTAGGCGCCTTCGCAGTTGTCTCAGTATCATGCCGTCTCCACATCCTCTTCGTATCCCACGAAGGTTTCCCAGGGCCGCGCTCTTGGCTGCTGATAATAGTGTGCTGACTTCTTCCAGTTAGTGGGCTCCACTCCTCGCAGCTACGCCGCCACGAGTCGCCCTTGGAGGTGCGTCTATGGCATTGTGTGATATAAGTACATCGGGCTTCTTCTCCCTACGCTCTTCACTCGTCTTGCTCGTCTTTGCATGCATAGCGACCGTCACTCGTTTTTTCATATCGACTAATTTTAATTGACTTTACTGTCAACCACACTCGCTTTCACTCTTACAGCCGAAGTCGACTACAACTATTATACTAGTGCTGTAAACATTAATTCGCCAAGATGCGTTTCTCCCAAGTCGCTGCTGCCTCTTTGGTAGCACCGCTCGTCGCTGCTCATGGCATGGAGGGTATGCCAAGAATCGTTGGTTTGCCCAGGCAAATGAGGGCCAGCAACCCTCTTGCTGGTTACACAGGCGGTCATGCTGCTGAAGCAGGACCCGTCATTCGTCCCCGACAGTCCACTGACGGACGTTGCGGGCCGGATGGCGGCAACCAAAAGTGCGCGGACAACGAGTGCTGCTCAAGCGCCGTACGTATATTGGAAGAGACACTTCGTGTATTGAGCGTATACTTACAGTAGAACAGGGATACTGCGGTACTACTCAGGAACACTGCCAAGCGCCTGACTGCTTGTTCAACTTTGGTCCTGCATGCGGTATGACGATTTTATACTCTGCACGATGAACGTGTTACTGATAGTATGACAGACGCCAACAAGACTCCTGCTGGAGCAAGCACCCGTAACGACGCCCGCCCCCAGCTGGGAAGCATCCCCTACGGCGGCGAAGGCATCTACGTCTGCAACAACCCTGGAACCGTGGCAATCACATACGACGATGGTCCATACATCTACACCGAGGGCGTTATGAAGCTGTTCGAGGCACGAGGAGCCCATGCCACTTTCTTCATCACCGGTAACAACATCGGCAAGGGCGCCATTGACGAGAACTGGGCGGGCGTCATCAAGAAGATGTACGACAACGGCCACCAGGTTGCCTCTCACACATGGTCCCACCAGGACCTCAGTGCTATCACCAAGGAGGAGGCTTACGACCAAATGGTCAAGAACGAAATGGCTATTCGCAACATCATCGGCAAATATCCCACCTACATGCGCCCACCGTACTCTTCTTGCACTGGAAGCTGCCAGGAAGTCATGGCCGATCTTGGTTACGTCGTGTCTTACTTCGACCTCGATACCGATGACTACAACCAATTGACCCCCGAGAAGATTCAGGTCGCCAAGGACAACTTCAAGAAGGGCATTGATACCCGTAACGAGGGATACTTCGATGGCGACAGGCTTGCTATTGGTCATGATATCCATCAGTTGACCGCCGAGAACCTCACCGTATACATGCTCGACTACCTCTACGCTCAAGGTCTCAGGGCCGTCACCATGGGCGAGTGCATGCAGGACCCCGAGGAGAACTGGTACCGCGACTCTACTCCCGCTCCTCCTAGCACGTCTTCTACCCGTACCTCTTCGTCTGCTGTCCCCACTCCTACCGGCCCCACCTCCAAGGACGGTATGTGCGGTGCTGCTGGTGGCTCTCAATCTTGCGTTGGCTGGGTTGGCGTCGACGGTCTCCTCGGCGAGTGCTGCTCTCAATACGGCTACTGTGGCAACACCGCCGACCACTGCCAGACTGGCTGCCAAGCTGGTTTCGGAAAGTGCGGTGCCCAGCCCAGTGCTTCTCCCTCTGCCTCTGCTACCGTCTCTGCTAGCGTCACTGGCCCTGTCCCTACCCCTACCGGCCCCAGCACTACCGACGGATCTTGCGGTGCGGCAAACGGTGGCATGACTTGCATTGGTTTCAACGGTCCCGCTGGTCTGAGCGAGTGCTGCTCCCAATACGGATACTGTGGAAACACTGATATCTACTGCGACGCCGGATGTCAGGCTGGCTTCGGAAAGTGCGGTGCTCAGGCCGTCAGCAGCGCCGCTTCTTCCGTTGCTGCTAGCACCAGCCCTGCTCCCTCTTCCTCTGCCGATGCCAGTGCCAGCAAGGACGCTATCTCCTCGACTGCTTCAAGCACCACCGTCGATGCTAGCTCAAGCGCCAGCCAGGTCTCTTCCGCAGCCTCTGCTACTCCCACCACCTCCGGTGAGAAGTCTCGCGATGGCTCATGCGGTGGAACTAAGGGATACACCTGCGTCGGATTCAGCACTCTCGAGGGCGTAAAGTCTGAGTGCTGCTCTGCTTGGGGATACTGCGGTACCTCTGAGGACCACTGCGGTGCTGGTTGCAACCCCGTCTACGGCAACTGCCCTTCGACCTCTTCTTCGTCTGCTTCTTCTTCCATTGCTGTCTCCAGCGCCAGCGAGAAGTCTGACTCTGCTTCTTCGACTGCGGCTATCCCCTCTTCTGAGGCTGTTTCTTCTTCTGTTTCCGCTTCAGCATCTGCTTCAGCTTCGGTATCCGTCTCTGAGTCCGTTTCCGCATCAGCTTCTGCCTCAGTCTCTGAGCACCTTTCCGCATCGGCTTCTGCCTCGGTCTCTGAGTACGTCTCTGCATCCGTTTCTGCCTCAGAGTACATTTCCGCATCGGCTTCAACCCCCGTATCTGAGAAGCCTGAGAAACACGACTCCACCTCCGTCGCTGCTTCTGCTTCCTCCACCTCAATTGCCGAGTCTGCTTCCGCGTCCAAGGACAGCTACCCCACCAGCTCCGCCGTCTCTGAAGTCTCCTCCGCCTACCCCAGCTCCACCCCCGGAAACTCCGAGGCCGTCCCATCAAGCAGCCCGGCCGCTTCTTCCGCCTCTTCCTCCTCCCCCGCCTCCAGCTCCGCCACCCTCCCCAGCAGCGCAGCTTCCACCCCCTACGCCACCTCCACCATGACACCCACTCCTATCCTCCCCTCCTCCTCCTTCTCCACCGCCATCGTCCGCCCCAGCTCGACCTCCTGCTCCACCAGCGCCACACCCACGCCTACCAAGCTGCCTGTTTCTCAAAACGGCAAGTGCGGTGAGCACAATGGTGGCCAGACGTGTGCGGGCTACAAGACGCTGTTTGGTGTTGAGATGGGTTGCTGCTGCAAGCAGAGTGGGAGGTGCTCGATTGATCCTTGGGCGTGTGGGCTGGGGTGCGATAAGGGGTATGGAAAGTGTTGGTTTTAGATGATGCGATGAGGAAGACGTGATCGGTTTGGGAAGGTTGCGATGACCTTTTTTTACGTTCTGAATATACCTTGTTGAGATGATGGGGGGTTTGTTGTAGTATGATATGTAACATGTAGAGAAAGAATGCATGATGATGAAGATCAAAGTATCGTTGTGAAGAGTTCATTACATGTGACTTCGTGTTCAATCGCCTTCGTCATCATTTGATAATGACTTCCAGGCATAACTCATCGTTGATACTGCAGTGCTGTAGGTAGCTTGTCATCTATGGGCATGGGAGATTAGATAGTCTAGGGTGCAGAAAGAAGCAGTCAGGTGTTACACCAGAATGGACATGGAACTACAGCTGGAGATTACATCTTAGTTACCCGCCGCACCAGACACTGAGCGTCCTGCATCTCCGCCACTGGCCTTTTCCGCTGCCATATTTCCATCCTTGTTGCGGCTCTTATCATAGCCATCGCCCTGCTCTTCGTCATCGCCCTTCTTCTTGATTCCGCCCTGGCCTGCAA